AGAGAGAGAGAGAGAGAGAGAGAGAGAGAGAGAGAGAGAGAGAGAGAGAGAGAGAGAGAGAGAGAGCGAGAGAGAGAGGTTTAGATACAAGGTTTATGTTTAAAACAAATTACTGAACATTACTATATTATTTGCATGTTATTTTCAGTGTGAAGCCTGCTCTGTTTGATCTGTTCCTTGCTCTATGCATTGCTGCCTACCTAGCAGTTATCTACCTGCTCATCTCAGTAAGTGTAACAAGCTAATACATATTTTCACACACGCAAAATCGTGCAATTCAAGTAACCCAATATGTGAAAACGAAAATGTATAGTTCTATTTTTATTTTTTCCCCATACTATAATCACTTTATGGGGGGGGGGGAACTAGTTTGGTAACCAGTTTAAGCGATTACAAACTGCCACGCAAAATAGTGGTTGTCTCATATTTTTGCGTTACCTGATGCGTTCTCTCTGCCCTGGTGCATTTCCAGAACTTTGGCATGGTTCAGGCAGGCTTGAGGAAGGTTCTAGGTCCGGCTAAGCTGAAGCGGACGTGAGCTTGCTTGCACGCGTTCACCGGTTGTGTGGCCTCACGGCATGTGCGTGTGGAGGTAGGAGACCCCCATCGCTACAAAGTGCCACAAGGTTTCGCTCATGTCGCCAGCGCGCGAGACGGGAGCAGCATGTGGATTTTTTTAATCGTTTTAGAATACGGGGATAGCAAACTTATTAAATTTATATGACGTTATAAGTTTAATATATACGGAGACGCACGGCGACATATGTGACAAGGGTGAGTGCGGCCAACTTTGCGTGGACGGCAAATGATAATAGGTGGTGCTGATCCCATCGTCGGTAAACGTTTTGCCTTTACCCCACATAGCAAGAGTACTAAGAGCTGCGCGATGCTTCCTGTGAGAAGGCCACGGGTTAGTAAGAGCTACTCTACTTCATTCGTTGTGAAATATTCGAATTCTATTTCATCGTAAAAGGTGAACGGCTAGAATGTTGTGGTCATGAGAGGAAGTGGAATGTTATATTTGAATTTGAAAATGCGTTCAGGAGCTTGATGCCTGTCTGCGCCCAGCTCTTATGTAAAGATGCTCCTTGAACAAACAACACTAAATTACTCTATCACCTCAAACATCACAGTTTCCTACCTAGATACAGCTATTCCTGAACCTTGTTTCTTTAGGAGTCTCTGTCTGTTTTTGTACTTTTGAACCCTAATTCTATACCTGTGTGTTCTTTGGAAAACCATGTGGTCGTTGTGCACTGTTGTGTTCCCATTCTAGTACTTTTTATTAGCTACAGTTAAATATTGGTTTTTAACAGTACTGCCTAAATTGCTCTGTTCAATATCAATGATGTTTATTCTGAAAAAGTGGTTTGGAAAATTTCCACTTCCAGCTCTTGGTGTGAAACATGCAAGGACAAATTAACAACACATGTCAACATCATCACAATCAATGGTGTCATTAATACTAATAGTATTCTTTCAAGCCGTTTGACTGAAAATAGTTTGGAAAGCTTTCAGTCGTGTTGACCTTTAATTTGTTGATAAAATAATTTTCCCACGGATTGTTCATATCAGATTGTTTTATGTATGTTTCTTATTTGCAATGCATATCAGCTAGCTGTGTTGATCATTTAATTATATGTTGACGCGTTGGTAAGATGCAATAATATATTATTGTTGATTAAATGGTCAAGAGTAAGAAATACTATAGGAAATGTGTGCATGCTTGCCTCGCAGTGTATCTGGGATGTTCTCTTTTTATATTGATTAATTGATTATATTAACTGAATTGAATTCAGAAACAGACTATGTATGCAATGAATTTTCCACACAAGTTGATAATATAGTTGAAATTGTTGTTCAAATGTACATGAGATGTGTAGTGTTTTTTTATACAGGCTGTGTTCGACTCTACAGGCACATTGCCATTCTTCACATTTACTTAGTACGTGTAGTACATGTAGTAGTAGATTACTATTTACCCTGAGGTTGTTTAATGCAACTTGACAAGCACCAGTAGACTTTGGTCTAATACATACAGATTACTCACTAAATTAGTACATGTAACATGACAGTGTCTCTGTTGCTAGTCGGCATCAGATTAAACCTACACGTGATATTCCTATCATATGGCATGAACCTTGCGTTTCTAGCTGCTTAGCAAACATCTTGTGTTAAATCTACTCTGTTTACACAATGTAAAGATATGAGAGTATTTTATTTGGAGACATATGGATATGATAATATACATATTTCAAAATACAATGAATGCTCTCACGATTTTGAGGAGGATATATAGCATTGCTAGAAGCACTTGATCTATGGTAAATTTGTATAAAGGAATTTGTGAAGCTTGCTTTTGTAGTGAAAGGCAATATGTCGATCAAGAACGGTGTGAAAAAATGATAGCATTGTTGGAAGCAACTCCTAAATCATAAATACAGTATAGCTATCATTTGTTCACACCATTCTTCATCAGCATATGGCCTTTCACTACAAAAGCAAGCTTCACAAATTCCTTTACACAAATTTACATACAATAAATCAAGTGCAATATACTACTTGATAAAGAGACTACGTTAAAGATCATGGGGGGGGGCATACAAATCAATATTGTAGTTATAATGCCAGTCTTCCTTGCAACCTTTTATGTGTTATAATAAAACTAATTATCGTTACGCTTTACTGTTTCTGACAACAGACACCTGGTATCAGGAGATGGGGTGGAAAGGCTGCATTTACTATAGATCTTGGGCCTGAGCTATAGTGATAGACAAAGACAGAGAGAGAGAGAGAGGCGGAGAGAGGTGGAGGTGAGGACAATGCTGAATTTACCAGGCAGCAGGTGTCATTGCATCTATAATTTAACATGCCAACAGCGGGCGGTACCTGTATCAGTGTATCATACCTAGATCGTTGACACACCACATAAAGAATGCAATAAATATCAGATATACATTGTTCTACAACAACTCCACACGTATAAATAATCCTTGTGACTTATGTATAAGTCACAAAACATAATAGCAACAAGGGGCTAGTTGCTTTTCATTAGTGTAAAGCATAACGCACACACCCAAGCAAAACACCTGAACGTGGAGCAAAACGTGTTTCGCTCGATGTTCGTGGCTGTGTGCGGATTCCCGAAACAAAAAACATTGCTCAGCTGAGCGAGTTTCGCTGAACAAGCAATGTTTGATTCGCGGAGCGTGTTTTCGCCTGAGCGTACGTTTTGCTCGGGTGTGTGCGTCAATCGTTCTGCTACACAGCGAAATGCCACAGACGGTCTCCAATCAATATCCTTAAAAATATCACATGACACACAAAATTGGATGTCTATTTTTGATGTCATGTGACAGCGGCGCTGTACGCAGTATTTCTGTATGTTTTGCTCAGCTGTGTGCTGTGTCGGGTGGCGTGGATGCGCTTGCTCGCCGAGCAGAACGCGAAACGCTGGAAAACAAAATTTCCCGTTTCGCTCGGGTGTGTGCGCTAGGCTTAAACGCCACGGTACAAACTCTAAAAGAATCTTGATCAAAAATAACCATAATTGCATTTAATGCCTCTGAACACATATATCTACATTATTTACATGGTTGAATAACATGTGCTGTTCCATAATTTTACCTGCACACTGCTATCCTAACTGGACCAGGATATGAACATATAAAATTATACACTGTTAAGCATGTATATCTAAGCTTCTACTATATTTGGTTTTTATTTGCCATCGTGATGCGATCTATAGAAAATATTGAATGAACAGTAATATTAGGAATTATATATTAATTATATGGCACTACCAACTTTAATTGAAATTCGTACACTCATGGGGAAACCTGACTTTCTACGTGTTACGTACCTATGTGGTAGCCGATAGCAGCCAATGCTAGATTTGAGAATGCAAGATTGGCTTGGACTGCATGGTGCTAGCCATCTTGTGGGTCTGGGGGCCCACTGTCTTCTTGTATCATCTTGTATGTCTAGTACACAGGCTAACACTCTGTTCATCTAATACACATGTTGCTATCCTGTATGCCTGGTACACAGGCTGCCATCTTGTACTTCTTTAAAATAAGCTGACATCTTATAGAACTGGCATTTTGACATTTGCGCTGTCACATGACACAGCAGACTTTTGAAGAACTCTTCGATCTCTTCTTTCGATTGGACGTGGCTTGCGCAGTTCTCATTGCATTTAGCGTATCCTGCATGGCAACGTGTGACTGGTACATCTCTGCATCTCTGTTACAGAAATATACACAATACGTTTAGCTCATCTATGTTCTGAATATAAATGCCATCATTCTTTTACCTGATGGGAGACATAGAAATAAACAAACTTTAGGCCTTTTCGTGAGGATGAAAATCTCACCACATCGATACTTTTTACATATTAGTTCATTTCGTGGCATATTTAAATAAGTAATTTTCAAATGATAGGTCTGGGCTAAAACAAAATGTGTAATTGTTGGGTCCGAGTTCAGACGTACTCTGGTATTCAAATGTTTATAAAACTCACCTTATACCACGTGATAAGGACATGAGAGTATCTGGACCGAGCTCCAGACCTTTAGGGAAGCTTTGGCTTTGATACATGCCTAAATTCCGCCGATCTTCTAACGGTCCATCTTGCATGACCTACAATGACGACAACGCAATGGATCGTTTTATGATGATTTCAATAGTGCAAAAACTCATCACATTCACATGCTCAATAATTAATCGTGCATAAAAACCTTTCACATCCTCTGACAGGCCAGTGATGCATCGCTGCACATACGCAGATTACGCACATGCCAAGCATTGATGTGCTGAGATATTGGCTCATATCACATGAATAGCTTGCCATTGTGCCGCTGACAACGGCTATCACAATGGGAAAACAAACATGCTATCCGTCTTCATAAAAACTAGAAAGGGCAGTTGTCGCCAACTACATGTATCCCCCGTGTTCTCTCCAAGATATGTAAGTATACGAAGTTTGGTCGCGCTAGGTCAATTAAGGGTCGAGTTATAGAGCGAAAGGGAAATATGATGAAGATCAAGGTGAAGGTCAATGTCAAATAAAGGTTGCAGTGACCTGGTTTTGGTACGCTGCTCA